CCTTATCAAAGGGAGGCAGAAGGAAATTTGAGTATTAGGACAAGGCAATGCGATAACAGAAGCAGAGAGAGATTTGAAGACGCTATGCTGTTGGCTTTAAAAACACAGACCATGAGCCAAGAAATGTAAAGAATGGCTCTAGAAGCTGCAAAAGGCAAGGACAAGGACATTTATTATGTATTAGTAACAGAAATGCTCCAAAGGTGCAGCAGGTATGGATGTCAGGCAGGTCAAGTGGTCCTGATAAAAAAAAAACTATTGATCTTCAGAGAAAATGGAAGGAGGTGGCAATGTAGGAAGGTTGGTGAAAAGCTCCCAAAGAATTCCAGTCATCAGCAGGTGTGCTTTTTTACATAGAAAAAGATAATATTAGCAACAAAATTTGCCCAATATCAGCTTGAGTGAATGTGAATCTTTTCCCCTTCACTATTCAGGGCTCAACACATTACTAATCTGTATTTGTAGTAGGGCAAAACAATTGTTTAAATACTCACAAAGGTCTCCTAACATATCTCCCTTGCTTTCTAAGGAAGAAATGTGGCAGAAAGAAAACAAATTGGAGACTTTCTTCCTGGCTTTTCTGTATCTAGAAATACAGAATCTAGACTTCACTCTACTTGTTTTACAAGAGGTGGTAGAACAGGGCAGGGAGAGAAGGTGTAAAGGCTAAAGACAAATGAATAAAGTTTCTGGTTGAGATCCTTACTGAAAATCAGTCCTTGGACAGGAAGGCCTCTTCAACAGCAGGTACAGCTTAGGAATGGATGCCAGTGAAGCAGAGGGAGAAGGTGGCAGCACCTGCCAAGCCAGCCAGACTCCCTCACAGTGCACACTATTCCCACAGTAAAAGTACAATCGGGGGTAGATACGCCTAGAAAACAGAAGAGTTGACCAAGAGGTCTCCAAGGGAATGCTATCCCTGGCACCTAACAAAGTTCCAGGTGTATCATCTATTAGAAAATGCTGGAAGCATTGCTCTGACCTCCGGAGGTAAATAGCCTAACCTACCTCTGTGATGTCCACACATACAGTCCCTGGAAAAGTCTAGGGCTGGAGGAGGGGGAAAAATTTACCTTTATGAATTGCATGCACAGTCAGACACTCTGAAAATATTTATTATGAAACTATTCATTACAGATGAAAAAAGATTAAGTTTCTTACACACAGTCACAGAAAGAGTGGCCGGGGTGGGTCAGCAGCACCCCAGCGGCCAGACTGCAGCTGGGTCCCATTCCCAGCCCCAGTGGCAGTGGGTTCTAGCCCTGAGGACCATTCAGACACCTTCACAACCATCGGAGACAGGTTTGCAAATTAAGCAGGTTGAGAGGAAGGCAGGAGGGGAGCACCGATGTGAATTCGACAGGGTTTAAAAAGCACCAAACCCAAACAATACATTTTTTCCTCTGAGGTACAAATATGCAGTTTCACAATCACCCTAAACATATAAAAGATAAAATCTTTCCCCAGGAAACGCAGGTCCACCCTTGGAGTTTTACACAAACAGCCGGGAGCCGTGCAGGAACGTGTTGAGCGGCCACAGGTTGCTGGCGCCCACGTTGGAGGTGCGCCTCTGGCACTGCTTGCAGCGCCCGTACTCCGCGCACTGGTCCAGGAGGAACAGCTTGTCCGAAGCCCTGGGAGAGGAGAGCAAAAGCAGTCAGCAGCAGGTGCTCCCGGGAGGGGCACGGAAGAAAAGTAACAGCTGGTCCCTGCTCTCGAGGCTGACAGCCTCCCCGCCAGGCTGCTACCTGCGGCTCACCCCCTCCTGGCAATCCCCCACTTCCACACCTGTGTTCCTCGTTCTCCACTAAATCAAAAGCCCTGCTCAGAGCCTCCACAACAGTCTGACCCTACCCTCCTCCCCGCCACACCCACCCAAACCCACAGAGAGAGAACACAGAACTTGCCCAAGGTGTCACAGCCCGCCAACCTCTACCTGTGCCCTGCCGGGCTCCCTGCCTCTCTCCTTGGAGGGGGAGAGCGGGCCATTAAGCTGCTGGTTAACAGTTAACACCAGCGGAGAGAGAAGAGTGGGAAAGTCCCAGGAGACACAAAAGCAGTTTGAAGCAAAGAAGAAAGGGCAGCGATGACTGATTTTTCACTTAGACAATTTTTCTTGGTTGTGTAAGACAGTTCCTGGTATCTCTCCTACCCCATAAAAATTTATACATGAGTGGAATTCTGTAAAAAATAATAATAATAATACGAATCGCAAGAGCAGCCGTAACAGAAAAAAGAATAAACAACCTTGGAAGGGGGCAGGGGAAGCCCCACCTGGCTTGCCTTGATAATAGGACAGACTATCACATGCTCACTGCATACAGGGGAACCTTGTCTTTGCTTTCGCTTTGTTTTCTTTTTTACATCAACCAATTCTTTCTTCCTACCTGCTGCCCGCTTGAGTTCCTGCCCAGAGCTCGACCTAGGTCTTCAGGTTAACAGATCTGCTCTGCCATGTCCCTGGAGCAGATTTGATAGCCTGCCACTCAAGATTACTTCCTGTGTCTCCTGTCCTTTATCACCATGTTGGCCAGGCATTCTTTCTAAATCCAATAAATCTTCCTGGCATTAATCTCATCGCCTTTTACCTACTTTCCCACAACACTGAGAAAATGGCTTGAAATCCTCAACTCCCCTTTCCCTTCCGCTTCTCTAGGACAAATGACCCCACTTCTCCTTTGGAACCTATTTTTCATGTCATCCTTCTTACTTTCGTCGTCATAAAATATAGGTTGTGCCTATTAGAAAAACAGCCTTATGAAAAAATCTAAAAAGGAAAGGAGATTTAGAGATGAAGACCCATTATAACAAATTTTATCCATGATAAAAATTAGTTAATTGGCAACTTAAACTATTATTATGGTATATTCGGGTTTTAATAATTCGAGTGTATAGACTTGGTCTGTTATATCAAATTTTTAACTTTCTATGAAACCATACCTTACATATATTTGTAAAGTGTTTTAATTTTTTTCAAAGTGTAATACTTTCTCATCTCTTTATTTGATCCCTTAAACTCCTGTGTTTGCTTGGTTGGCAAGTGTTTACTTTCCCATTTTACAAATAAGAAAAATAAGACAAAAAGATTAGCTGCCTCTCCAAAGTTAGTGTTAATTATCAAAACCAGGACTAGAACCCAGATTCCCTGACTCTAGATTGTAAATATATAGCTAGGGAGATGAGACAGAGATATAATAAAAAATTTCAGGAAGATGTTCTTGGTTCGTTCCATAATGGGCACCTCACTTTTCCAATCCTACCCACACCCCCTTGACTCTGCTCTTAAATGACAATTCCATAAGCCTTGGAAGTGTTCAGATCAGAAACTCACTCTCCCTGCTTCCAACTAGTTATTTCCAAAGAGAATCCCCATCCAACACAAAAAGAAAATAAAGCCATCCTAAGCAGAGGTAAAGATTAGGACAGAATTGGTAAACACGCAGCATACAATACAGAATTCTCCAATCCTGTGTCTGTAACAGACATTTCTAATCAATTCCAGCAGTACTTCCTACTGAACACAGGCTTGCTTTCTCCACAAACTTCCCCAGGCAGCCACTACTAATCAACTGGAGTCAGCACTTGAAACCTATCTGCCATTCCAGGGTTAGAGGAAAGTGAACAAGGAACAGAAGGGATTTTCTTTGCAACCTAAGAACTTCTGTTGCCAGTCAGGTATTACCGCTCAAAAGCCTTCTCTTCCAGGTCCCGCTGCTTCTTCATCGCAGCACTCCTTTCCCAGTCCTCCTGTAAGCACTGGTTGATTCTGTTCACTCGCTCCAGCTCAGCAGCTCTGTCTGCCACGTGTCTAGAGAGAAAAGAACAATCTACTCCACTCATAATATTTGCAAGGGCATGCACCAACCTTGGGAGCCCCATGACTCCATGCTTTCTGTTTTATGTTAGACTAAAAGGAAAACCTTCCGGTTTGTTCACTACTCTGTGAAATATACTAAAAGGCATGAATGCTGTAACAGTATAGTGAAGCTCCTAGCTTTCAAATGACTTATGGGTCTATGATCTTTCATCTTCAATCCTGGTTTAAACAAGCAGCACTGAAACCTTTTTCCAATTAACAATTTCAGCCTTTAAAGCCATTAATTTCTTTTGAGGCTAATTTGACTCATCTGAAGAATCATTCCAAATGGATTTCCTATACAGTATGTTTCTTTCCTTTTATTCCAGGCTCTCGGCTGTCAGTAATCAGCCTACCAGTTGCTACAGGCATTTTCCAAGACAAAGTAGAGAGGCATGCAAATGAAAGTCTAGAAAGGGGGAAAGAAACATAAAAAGACTAAGCAAGAGAAAAGAAAAGAGAGAAAATATCTGACACTGTGAAGAAGGCAATGAAAAAAAAAATAGGAGTGTTTGGTGAAGACCATGTAATCAAAGAAGTGATTGCAGTGTAATATCTCTCTTCAAGTACAATGCGTCAGTATTCCCAGCACTGTGTTTCTATCACTGATCTCCAAACACACTTAAAGTTGTGAATCACTTTAAGCCTGGTTCAAATTATTTATATGTGTCTGTTTCTTGCCAAATTGAAACTTTTACTGTCAGTTCTCATTAAATTCTAGAAGTAGCATCACTAAATGTGACTATTCATTTAGCCTCTTCTTAAGGGTTTTGCCACTAGGTGTCAGGATCCTCTGAAAAAAAATCAGTAATGTCTTCTGTACCAGTTCAGTTTTTTCTAAAATAGCATAGCTAGCTTTTCATCAACAAGCATTGATTCAATAGTTATTGTGTACTTATTATAAAGATTAAGTGATATCATATACAGATTACATATATATAATATCACATAATGGGAGCTCAATGACTGAATGGTACTATTAATTTTTTATCAGCTTTTTTTTTTTTCTTTTCATAGGGTTTTTTGTCTGTGTGGTTAAAAACACATAACAAAATTTAGCATCTTAACCATTTCTATGTATACTGTTATTTGGTGTTAAGTATATTCACATTTTTGTGCAACCAATCTCTAGAACTATTTTCATCCTGCAAAACTAAAACTCTATACCCATTAAACAACTCCCCATTTCTCCCTCCCCAAGCTCCTGGCATAAATGGAATCATACAGCATTTGTCTTTTTGTGATTGGCTTGTTTCATTAGCATAATGTCCTCAAGGCTCATCCATGTTGTGGCATGAGTCAGAATTTTCTTCCTTCTTAAGGTAGAATAATAATTCCATTGTATGTACATACCACACATCTTGTTCACTCATTCATCTGTGGACAGACGCTTGGGTTGCTTCTACTTGGCTATTGTGAATAAGTGCAACTATGAACATGGGTGAGCAAATATTTCTTTGAGAACCTGCTTTCAAATTTTTTGGATACATTCCCAGAAAGGTCATATGGTAACTCTATTTTTAATTTTTTTTGAGGAACCATCATAGTGGTTTCCATGGCTGCTACACCATTTTATATTCCCACCAACAGTGCACAAGGGTTCCTATTTCTCCACATCCTCACCAACACTTGTTTTCTTTCTAATACAAGCAATCCTAATGGGTATAACGTGGTTCTCTCACTGTGGTTTTGGTTTGCATTTCCGTAATGATTAGTGATGTTAAGAATATTTTCATATGCTTATTGGCCTCCATTACCCTATGTTTTAAAGGATAGGTTAAATTTAAAAAAAAAACACTTTAATTTAAATGCGTAGAATAGGAAAGTGAGACAGTGCAGGGGGCAACTAGCATTCTCACAACACTTCTGGGAAGAAAATTGCTGTGTCATTTTCAAAATTAAACTGTAAGTATCTGGAATACTTTAAATGTGCCATATGCTTGACCTGGCAACCCCACTTTTATGAATTTATCTGATAGAAACAAAAGAGCCAGTACAGGAAATATATTAAGAATGTTTAATACAGAATTGTTGTAATAGAAAAATATCTGGAAACAGTGAATGTTCATCAATCCTGTAAAGGTTATAGTATATCCGTATTATAGATATTATGCTGCTGTTAAAATAAATCTGGTATATATTTGCGAACCTGGGTATGAATTAATGACACATTATCAGGTTAAAGAAAGATTCACTTGCAGAGAAATATATATGATCTCATAGACTTCATTTTCATTTACAAAAATAGAAAGAAAAATATGTATGTGCCCATTGTTTGAATAGGAAAAGATTTGTAAAGGATAGAAAAACATGTAGAAGGCTGCATATTAACCCTAACATTGGCTGCTTGGTAGGGGAAATTATTAACCTTTAATATTTTTTAAAAATCCCTCCACCATTTGACTTGTTTCAATGAGCACGAATTGTTATATATATATTTTTAAACAAAAGCAGAAAAGTTTAAAGAAAAAAAGAATAAAACAAGTATAAATAGCTCAGCAAGCCTGTTTGGATCACACTGACTAAATTATCCCCTCTGAAAGCAAGTGGTCTTCTATTCGCCACAGGAGGACTTAAGATCACATCTTGAGATGGACCAGAGAAGGGCCAGGGAGTTGGAAAAGATAAGGGAAGTGAGAGAATCTGGAATAATAACCAGTAAAGAATACAGAAACAGAAAACAAGGATCTGACCCATACAGAAAAGGGGATCTACAACCAGAGCCCCAACAAGAAAGGTAACTAAATAAAAACCACAGGTTACATTTGTTCAGATATTTACAGTTTCCAAAAATGCTCTCACATACATAATTTCATTTAATTATCACAGTAAGGATGGGTGGGGCAGGTGTGATTATCCTTATTTTTCACAGGAGAAAAAGAAGACTCAGAGACCCTACATGTGATCCGGCCAAGGTCATAGAACTCGGAAGTATCAGAGTCTAATCCTCCTAACTCCATGTTTAGGAGATCATCTAGGGAAGTTAATGGCTATATGCAGAGGAGGAAGCTGCAATAATCTCAGCAACAAATGCAAAGGCCCCAGATCCAGCTGTGGCAGCACATGCGGAAAGGCAGAGCCACTAAGGGACAAGTGAGGGCTGTTCGCCTGCTGTAAAACAGAAGCTAAAACGGAGCACTGGGCCGGCCCGTGGCTCACTCGGGAGAGTGCGGTGCTGATAACACCAAGGCCCCGGGTTCGGATCCCACATAGGGATGGCAGGTTCGCTCACTGGCTGAGCGTGGTGCTGACAACACCAAGTCAAGGGTTAAGATCCCCTTACCGGTCATCTTTAAAAAAAAAAAAAAGAAGCTAAAACGGAGCTCAATGCTTTCCCAAGGGGATACATTTTTTAAAAATATCAGTGGGAAAGACATTTTCCCCTCAGGCATATTTAAGTTTTCAAAAACATATCTGATAAAGGACTTGTACACAGAGTATATAAAGAACTTTCAAAACTCAACTGTACTGCAAAGGGAAGGAAAAATATAGGGCGGTAACTGGAGGGAGAAGTGAGGTCAAGAGAGGGTTTTTAAAATTGATTTCATAACTTTTTCTTCAGAGGGCAAATAGTGAGGATAAAATGAGCTGAAGCATGTAATGAGCTTAGAACAAGTTCTCGCACAAGCAACTCCTCAGTGTGTGAGCTATTATTCTTACTTCTGTGCTGTTGTATGAGAAAGAGAGAGAGAGGAGTGGAAAGAAGGGAGGGAGGGGACAAGGAGGGAGAAAGCCCAGGGACCTCCTTACTGTCGCTGTGTCCTCTGAAGCAGCTGCAAGTCCCGTCTCTGGTCCAGCAGCTGGTGCAGGATGGCTCTCCTCTTGCGGCCAGCAGCTGTCTCCAGCTGGTGCTTCATGTAATTCTGTTCGCGCTTTCGCTTTTCCGCCATCAGCTCACCCTCGTCCTTACCAAAGATAGGCTCAGAGGAGTCTGGCTCAAACATGGGCAGCTGCGAGGGTTTGTTCTTTACCTGAAACAGGGACACACATAATACAGATTATAATTCTACCAGAGAACAAACTTTATGGACACTCAGAAAAATACCAGTACCATACAGGAAAGAACAAGGGGCTCAAAAATCACAAAATGCATATAAAAGCATTCATAACATTACAGTATTTATACATATTTTTAGAATGCTACTGAAACACTGCATAATTTTTTAAATAATAATAGTTGTCCCCTTACCTGTGCATCCAAAGCTCTCTTGTAACACTGTGTTTCTTCCATCTTATCTTTTAAGTATTTGGCTCTTTGCGCAGCAAGTCTGGTAGTTAAGAAAAGGAGAAGGTGGGCCCGTAGTTTAACAGAGTCTTTAATAACAGAGTAACATCCTCAAAACATGTCTAATATGCATTAATAAGAATGAGAGCTTGGTAAATAAAAATTGACATTTCATTCTGGGAGCTTTCAATACAAGAAAGAAAAGAGTAATTCAAATCCATAGGCCAGTAGACGATGTGTTCAACACAGGACAGACAAGACAGGTAAAATAAGCTGACCAACTGTAGTGGATTGAATTATGTCCCCCCAAAACTCATTGAAGCTTGAATTGTCTCCCAAGTTTTACATATTAGAAACTTAGCCCCCAGGGCCGGTCTGTGGCTCACTTGGGAGACTGTGGGGCTGATAACACCAAGGCTACAGGTTCGGATCCCTATATAGGGATGGCCAGTTAGCTCCATTGGGAGAGCATGGTGCAGACAACACCAAGTCAAGGGTTAAGATCCCCTTATCGGTCATCTTTTAAAAAAAAGAAAAAAAAGCCCCCACTGTGACTGTTAAGAAGGTAGGAAATCCTATTATGGTAGTTGAAAGTTGGAGCCATGAAGAGATGATTGGGTTGTAGGACCATGCAGTAGGGAATGGATTAAAAATGGTGGTCAGGGGCATCGTTCTGAGGTCTTTGAAAGAGGAGTCTGTCTTTCTCTCTCTCTTTCTGCTCTCTCTGTTTCCACTGTCTTGCAATGTGAGACCCCTGAGTCACTGTCACCACCACCAGATGGGCATTGGACTTCCCAGCCTCAGAAACTGTAAGCAATAAATTTCATTTTCTTTACAAATCACCTGGTTCCATGTACTTTGTTATAAGCAACATAAACAGACCAATACACCAACCATATTGTCCAAATGCACTACTGCTAAAACAGCAGGCACCATCTCCCTCCCACCCCTCCCAGTTCTTTAAAAAATCTAGGTAACTACAGCCTCCACAATTGCTCTTCTTGCCTCAGTAGCAAAAATGTGGGCCCCCTTAGGCATATATGAACTCCATGGCCCTGACCCTATCTCAGGCCTCAGATAACCCAATCAATACCAATCAGATTCTCTTCCCTGAAAATTTGGAATTGAGACTAGCATTCTCCAAGTCTGAGCTCTGGAATAAAGACAATGTCAACTAAGGAGCTGCGGGTGTAAGCAAAGGGGATGCCTCTCTACACGCCTTTTTAGTCCCTGGTTCCAATCCTTCCTGGGTTCCATGGGACATCCCTACATACTTATAATAAAACCTCAGCTTTTCCTTGATGTCACCTGAACATCCAATTGCTGGAAAAGGTGCCTGCTCAAGACATGTCCCTTCCTCCACCTACCAGTATTGGTGATTGCAAAACAATACAAATCGATACTCTGTAACTATAGTAATTATAGACTGGCAATCATTACTACAATGATAATAATAATAATGACTGATTTTTCATTTTTCTAATGTAAATTTATGCTATGGTATGGCTGCTAACTGGGTTAGTTTGCTCAGTTAGTTACAGTGGTGCTGATGAAACTACCAATGCTGATTCAATCCCACATGGAAATTAACTTGACATGAAAATTCCGCATTTGTTTTTCAGAGCGTGTCTAGCTGGACTCACTCCTCTGTGAGTTGTACTTGTTCTAGGCGGTCCATCAGCTCTTTGTTTTGTCTTTGCTTTATTTCTTTTTCCCGTCTGTTATCCATTTGTTTCAGGAGACTTTGGGAATATTCCTCTTGCTTAAGAGCATTCAGCTCAGGACTGAGTGGCCGTTTATCAAACAAGAAGGATTTCTAGAATAAAAGAGAAGCAATTCATTCATGCTAGAATGCCAAAAAATAAAGGTAATAATTCAGAAGACTAAAATCAATCAGAAAGTATTTTTTAAATTTCTAATATTGACTCAGTCCTCAATATGCTGACCGGCTAATGTTAAGGTAACCCACAGAACAATATGAGCATGTTCAAGAATGAAGCTGAGTTGAGCTGACCAGAGTCCCATTTCTGAGACAGAGATGAAAAAAGGACCCATGGAATAAGTCCTGAGCTAGCACTGACAACATCCAGATGAAAGGAAGAAGGGATTCTGAGTGTGTGCAAAATCATGGGCAAAGACAAGAGAGGAGGTGGCACAAGGGAGAACTGAACACCTGCTGTGGGCCTGGCCATTCAAGACACTGGCGACCCAACAGTGACCAAGAACAGAGACCCCAGCTGTCATCACACCTGCATCTGGTCCAGGAGACAGAGAACAAGTAAACAACACATCAGATCATTTAAGGTAGTGATGAGCCCTATGAAGTCCTTATCACAAGTGAGTAGGTGGGAATAGGGCTGAAATGGTTGGTTACGAGGGAAGACTTCTGTGGAGATAAGTGAATCACCACCACTGTAAATATCAGGGGCACCTGTGTTCCACACAGAAGTATCAGCAAGTGCAAAGACCTTAGATGGAAACAAGGCAGGCATGTTAAATAGGCAGAAGGATGTCTGTGTGGCTGAGGCACAGTAAGCAAAGGGAGCAGAAGTCAGTGAACTCAAAGAGGAAGGCAGGGGCCAAATCATATAGGGTCTGATAGGTCAAAGTAAGGAGTTACATTTCATTTTAATTCAAGGGGAGGCCAGTAGAGGCTTCAAAATGGGAGAATGGTATGTTTTGCTTCCGAATCTTAAAAGATCACTTTGGCTGCTATGTGGAGAATAGACCGTAGGAGAGCGAGAATACAAACAGTATGTCTAACTCGGGAGGTACTGCAGAAGCTGGGCCTTACAATGTGGCTTGGACTAGTGTATAACATTGAAGATGAAGAAGAGGTATGAAGATACTGGGTACATTTTGGAGGTAAAGGCAACTGGACTTGCAGATGGTTGGATGCAGGGGATGGAGAAAGGAATCTGGAATCAGTCCTGGATATGGAGTTTGCTGGCTGGTGATGCCACTTACAAACACGGGAAGATGGAGAGAAGAACAGGTTAAGGGAATTGAAAGTTCTGTTTGGGTCTTTTAAAATTTCAGATGTCTATAGATATATCAAACATGAGAATCAAAGTAATAAATTTAATCTGGAGCTTATATCTCGTATATAAGGAGAGCAAGAGATCATGCCCCAACCTCAAAAGCACCGTGCTCGCTCACTCTCCCTCCCCGCAGCCCCTGCCTGGAATGCTCTCTGCTTCTCTACCTAACTCTCATATGCCAGGAAGTCCTTCCAGATCTCTTGTCTGGATTAAGTGACTCTCCTTTTTTCTCACATAGTGCCCTTCTCAAAGATTTATCCTAGCATTTATTACACCACACTCTTGTCTCTTTAAGTGTCTGTCTCCCCCACTAGACTGAGACCTCTTTACTTGAGGGACCTTATATTCATAGCTATCAGCACAGTGGCCAGCACAGAGGAGTTTAATAAATGTTTGATGATTAATAAAAATACACATTTTATTAGATTTAAGTACAGAGTGTCAGACTACCACGATAGTCGTGTGAAAAGAGAAAGATTCAGGCAGAAATAAAGGTAGACACAATGATTGAAAACTGAACCAAGTGGTGAAGCAGATGATACCTCCATCTGAAGCTGGGCTTCTCAAACTTTAATGCACATATAACCACCTGGGGATCTTATTCCAATGTACATTACTGCCTTGGGTTGAATGTCCCCCCAAAACATAATCCCTACTATAACAGTTGGGGGTGAGAAATCCTATTATGGCAATTGAAAGCTGAGGCCTGGAAAAGGTATTAGATTGCAGCACTATGCCATAGTGAATGGATTAAAAATGGTGGTCATGGGCATGGTTCTGAGAGCTTTAAAAAGAGAATGAATGAGGAGGTTAGTCTCTCTCTTTCTCTCTCTGCTCTCTCTACTACACTGTTTTTGCAATGTATGTGATACCCTGACGTCACTGTTGCCACCACCAAAGCCTTCACCAAATGTGTTCACTGGATTTTGGACTTCCCAGTCTCTGAAACTGTGAGCAATAAATTTTATTTTCTTTACAAAATACCCAGTTCTGTGTATTTTGCTATAAGCAACAGAAATGGACTAACACAATTCCCATTTAGGAGGTCTGAGATGGGACCCTAGATTCTGCGTTTCCAGCAAGCTCCGAAGTGATGCCAATGCTGCTCATTCTCTCTTTAGATCCTGGGGCTGGACTTTACTGAGGCTGGTCCCCTGCCATCTGTCCCAGGTCCTAGTTGAGAATTACTGTAATTAACAAAGTGACTAATAGGAACAGTATTGTGAATGTGAATTGTGTGGGGGCAGACACTGGACACCACCTGCCCTAGAAGAAAGCTTCAACCATGCACCACCCACTTTTCAACTCTTCCACTTAAAAAGTGGCACAACCTGCAATACAGGGAGTGGATCCAAATATGCAGAGATGAGGCAAGTGTTAGCAATAGAAATTTAAAAAAGACTCTTACATAGAATTCAGGTTTCTCATTCTTGTGGCTTCTGATAGCTTCAGCAACTCCAAGATTATAGGCAGCATTTTTCTGATTCTGCTCTCTAGTAGCCAGACTTTTCATCTAATTTCAAAAAAAAATTTTTTAAATTTTTAATCACATATTGAAATAGAGCCTTTAAAATTTTAAATTCCATTACATTAAAATAATCCAACCAAGGTAGGAACCTGCCTTTTGGAGGCAATAGTTCTTTCTAATGTCTTCACAGATTTATAAAAGTGGGTTGGGGAAGATTTTTTTATGTACTGTTCTTGGGATTTAGGTACCACCACTACAGGAATCTTAATAAGGAATAGAAGATTTTATCATAAATGCAGGAAAGGGCAGTAGGGTCAATTATTGGAGACCACAGAAATCTGGATACAGCAAATGTAAAGGTGCCATTCTGTTTTTCCTGCTTGAGATAGGCCATGATTCTGAAGGGTAAAAACAGTGCGCCTAGAAATCAAAAATAAAACAATACAAGGGTACTTCAAAAAGTTCATGGAACTTTCAACAACGATCCTACATCGACAAACAAGCGGCAGCAGGTTCGAGGTTTTGGGGCCAA